AATCACAAGATTACTTCTGATGGTTGTCTCCTGACTTCTTTCTGAACAGCGACCGATGAGACGATGACTGTCGTATTGATGCCTCCGCGAAAATTGGGGAAGTTGGTTTTGAGCAAACAACCAAGAATTGATCATTGAATCTTCAACTGCATTGTCATACGGTTTTGTGCAACTATTAAGAGCTAGAAAACTTTCATGACAACAGTTTATCCTTCCCGACGTTTTCTTATGCTTCAATGAATAAAATATCGTGTTTTTCGGAACTCATCACACAGCTTATCAACCCTAAATTTACAGCAAATTTAGGCATAATATTTAATGGCTAAGCATGCAAATTAAATTATACGCTTGTACTGTACGTTCATTAATTATAAGACTACCTAGTAAAGTGTTTAAAAACCACGATTTGGCCAGTTATGCGACGTGAAATACATTTGGACACAATCAACGTACGCTGCTTAGTTCTATGACGCATTTTGAGAAAGTATTGATTTATGATACTTCATGATACTAATTTATAACATTACTGATCGCGCCTATAAAAATGGCATGCATTTCTTGTAAACCTACCCGTTTATACAAAATATAAGTTATTATTACCTAAGGCTACGTAACTACCTTAAAATAGTTTCAGCTGAAGATAATCCCTTGAAGTTGCCGCCTTATTGAGCGACCTAACGTTATCTTTGAATTACAAAGTGAAGATGGATAGCCAGAGAACTTTTATGATATAAAGAACGTCTTCTACTCCATGTCTGTACAGCCGGTGTGTCCTACATGGATAAGAATAAATATATATTATCTACATCTTCACTAAAGCGTTTGGGAGCATTTATCCTGTCACCACAGCACCTCAACTGATTCACAATGCACAGTCACTTACAAAGTAAAAATAAGTTAACGAAGATAGTTTGCTCCTGATTTCTAGATATTATAATGCACCCCGCTAAGCGGGTGCAGTGGCCCACTTTTCCTGCAACATCTGACAAATCCCTCAATGGCCGGACTCGAATTCCAAGCGCCCATTCAGTTAAGGGAAATAGAATTATTTTTATAGGTCATCGAGTGTCATTGGAGTTGAAGATTGAACGATCAGTTCTTGGTTGTTTGCTCAAAACCAACTTCCCCAATTTTCGCGGAGGCATCAATACGACAGTCATCGTCTCATCGGTCGCTGTTCAGAAAGAAGTCAGGAGACAACCATCAGAAGTAATCTTGTGATTTATTATTGTAATATTTGTTCACAGACCCTAGTAAAAACATTATTTTTATATGTTGGTGTAACAATAAAGAATTCTCGAGTGGCCAATCGGTCTTTAGGTTTTTGCGTCCGTTCGTACTAAGCGTTTCTGAAAAACTTCAAGCGACAGCGTGAGCCCGAGCGTAGCAAGACCTGGGAATTAACGGTTTATGAGAGGTGACTGACATCGAGTTATCAAAAAATATGGCAATGTCCTAATCGTCATCACTTGACTGACGACCATTACCTTTGAAATGTCAAACGCGCACTTAGATATCACGAATGACCTACCGAAGCAATCGACTGAACATCCAATGAATGTTAACCTTTAGTGATATAAGCGGTTGATGAAAATCTGCATTGGGCCAATGAAAATGCTCCCGATGATGTGGCCATTTTATCAGCTATTAGGGAGTACTGACTTGACAATAATGTTAAAAATCCAGACGTTGTTTCTTGTGCTAAGTGCCATAAATCTTATTTATTTTATTTTTGATTGCAGTTTGATTTCACACCGTACTTTTGGTACAGGCACGTAATTTTCAGCATGGATATTGGTAGCCCAAATTGCACACGCCGGCCATAGATATCAAGTGTGCGTCAGCGTGTTCTCGAACCCCAGACCATGTGCATGGTCAGTGAGAGTCCCAACCACTGTGCCACCGACGCACGCGGTTTTCAAGTTGACGAATACCTGTAATGATTTCCCGAATTTGACAACATTTGATAACACCATGTGTGCACTCTATAGTCGAAATGATGTTGACTGGGCAAGCGAAACAAGTGACTCCTTCTATACGCCTGCTTTGATAGTGGATGGTGCTTGTGGTTGTAGGTCAGTTGTCTTCATCAGCATTGTCTTCTCTTTGACCCGTCTTCGCTGCCCCTCTGCCAACCCGTTGGTTTACACTCACAATTCTTCGCATGTGTGCGACATAAGACACAAGTCATCCTGGGAGTCCAGATCTCTCAGGAACCTCTCGTCGGTCCAACTCCCCGGAGCCACTGGCCTCGATGATATTAGATGACCCTGTTCCATTCCTATTTTCACTGCATACATTTCACTCAGCTTTCCTGTGTGAATTTCTTTGCATATGTAACCATCATGCAGCTCTTGAACACGACTCATAATTATTTGCGGCATTGCTCTTCGCAGTGTTGAAGTATTTGCCGAATTCCTTCGCTTTCGACACTGTCGAAAGACTTCCCAACGTTGACGAAGCCTCTGAATGATGTTACATATGTCTGTGACTTGGTCCGCGTATGACCCATTCTTACTGAACCTAGTATGTTCCAGGAGATATCTTCCGTTAGTGGCGTTCTCTACTCGTTCCAGAATGATGCAGACTAATGTTTTGTTCGGGGCAGACAGGAGCGTTATTCTTCACCAGTTCCTGCAAAGGCTTAATTTGCCACCGTTTGGCAGTTGGGCAGGGTCGCCTTTCTTTCAAATGTCACGTACATTTCTTTCCTCCAACACCTAATTCAGTAGCGATGTAGGTATATCCGTGAAAATCTCTGGATTAGCTTCCAATGCTCTGGGGGATCTGGTCCAACCCTACCTCCTTACCATCATTATAGCTTTTATACATTTCTGCAGGCCTGTGTTTGTGTGGAGCTCTTATGTGGGTCTGTATTCCTTTATCTATTCTCTCTTGTTTGGTATAATTCGTTGTTGTTGGAGTTTTGATGCGTCTATGTCTATTCGGTTTTGTTAGGTTTCCTTCACCGGTTTCGTCAGCTATATCTTCTCCCCAGACATACCTGTCACTAGTGGGTACTGATTTCCGAGGTTCATTTTACTTGTAGACGAGTCTACTTCAGTTGAATGTGAGCCTTAGGTACTATTTTTCTTTCTTAGTGACATTCACTTCCCCGTTCATATTTTGTAGGGTATACTGAACTTACATTTCGAATGTTTATATCTGCACTGATACTTTTTCTTGTCCACGACTGCTACCTTCCTTGCTACTCTGTGTGTATTCTTGAGAAAGGTTTTTTTGTTTTTCTTTTCGTCTTATACGCAAGTGAAAATGTACCTACTTGCCACCTTCAGAAAGTTGGAGTTTTCTTGTTAATATTTGTCTTACAAGATGCTGTTTAATAACTCCGAAATTCTTCTCATGACCGCAGTGAGTGTGTCCCGTGAAATTTCATGTTTCAGTTTTTGAATGTTCATCTTGAATTCGTATCTCCTTAGGGCTCCTTTTAGGGCTGCATAGGATGGATAGCTGAGCCAGGATGTGGTTCTTACTTACGTCTGGGCTTAAACGGGATGCGCCTCCTCGTCTTTGAGGTTGCGGTGAGATCTGCCTACTCTATGGTGTATTCATCTAGTGGGAATGTTGTCATCTTACGTATATCCTCGTGCCTGTAAACACTTCATTCAATCAAGAAATCAGTGAAGGCGCAGATTTCTTTAAACGGTTTTCTGCCTTAAGCCATTTCACTGAACGCCTGTCGACACTTCCTAAGTTCATTCCCGTGTACTGTCTGATCTTATTTTGGCATGTTTTTCTTGCCACCCAATAGAATTTCGAAGTTGTCATTTGAGATGATATCCGTAGCTCATTGCACTTGTTAGTGGGAGTCTTCCTTTTCTTGATCTTCATTGTTTGTAACTGTATGATTCTGGCTTCCCATTTCGCCTGCCCTCACAAATCCCTAAATCTTTTATACATTTTGCAATCTGAGCACTCAGGCTGGTTTCGAAAATCTTGGAGACATCCTATGCCCCACACTAACTTTAACTTTTATGGAAAGGAGATATACCATTGGAATTGCTCCCTGAAGGATTTCACCACTGCGCTCTCTCGACTGCAGCAAATAATACAATCCAATAAACAATACAGATTTCAAGTCTTCTGATAACCAAACGAGACATTTTACTAATTATTCAATGAGGTGAAGACTGTGAAATGTTTATTAATAGCAACAATGAGTAGATAAGTTCACGAAGACATAGGTGTGAATTAGTCGATTATTGTGTAACAGCACACTTGAAAGAAGATTTTCGATAACACAGTTGAAGCGTTTCGCTATGGAAACGTTTGTGTATAGTTATGAGAGGTGTGCGGATTTGTCTATCGTACTCAATGATAATGAACTTCCTAAGTTACAGGCATTTCATGACTTATTCTTGTGTGATTTTAAATACTGGTGACTAATGAATTAAACAGTTAGAGCCAGTAATCGTATATAAGAAGTTACGTGAGAATAAAAAATACTCAATCAACCAGAGTTTCCCAAGATAAATATGGAAACATAATTGGTATCACAAAACAGATGCAAGAAGTATTAGGGAATGAGATGTCGAACACAAATCCTGTGTATGGGGAAATATGGCCTCCTGCTGCTGATACATTAGGACCAAAAGGGAGGCACATACACTTCTGAAGCTCAAGATGTCCTCAAATTTGTTCACAAGGCGGAATAAAATCTGCCAAAATTAATGCCTATACACATATATGTATTGCTGAAACTTCGACCAGAAGAGAAAAACCGCAGCCACTTATACAGAAGCTAACTCAGTCTGTCCTTCCTTGTTTTCAGTCATTTGTCGTTAGAAATCATTCTATTTCTTCCGTTTGGTACGATATCTGCTATAGTAAATGAAATCACCCAAAATAATCTCGTTATTGAATTAAATATCTTCTTTCCTTTACACTCTGGGAACAGTTTTGTAATGCGTCAGTGACACAAGTGGCATTGACCGGAAAACATGCTGTCTGACAACATATCAGAGCACAGGGTTGGTTGATTTGGATCACAAGCGTACTCAACCAACTTAGGACCAAGTTCTCATACTGCTGAACGATACGTTACACAGACAAATGCACAGTGTTTCATACTAAAACCAGTGGCATGTAATAAATGATACAGATAGTGAAATTGAAACACTCGAAACTGAATACATGTTTAGCAGGCACTAAAGGTATTGGACGCATTGTTTAGTCAGTAAACATCGAGTGAGCGCATTTCAATTTTCTACAGCATGGTAGGTTGTAATTAAGCGGCTATATGTTTTAGACCAAAATCCGTGCATCTAAGTTGCGTGGAAAGCCTGAGTCTGAGCTCCAAAAGCAATTGGGTGAGCTAAAGACCGAACTTGGAAACCTTCGTCTTTATCGTGTAACGCGTGGTACATCCTATCATGGGAAGCTGAAAAAGATGTAGGTTTTTTTAGGATTTATAATAATGTTTTAGCCGGACTCTTCGCAAGTCCATTGCGCGCGTTTATACTGTTATGCATCAAGCTCAAAAACTTCGTCAAAGAGAAGCTTATCGTTCCAAAAGATACGTTCCAAAGGATTTACGACCGAAGAAGACTAGAGCAATTCGAAGAAGACTCACAAAAAAAGAGCAGTCCATACATTCAGCACGATCAATGCGCAAGGCGAGAGCGTTCCCACGTCGTGTCTTCGCGATTAAATGCTAAATAATAAAGGTTCTGATTGGCACTTCCTCATTGTTGGTCATGTGAGTATCGGGGGTTTTCGGGTCGGCAATATAGGTATTTTAGGATTTCTGCACATGTTTTATTCAGGTTCAGAAGTGTTTTCTGTTCTGTCTAAACATATTCTAAAACCAGTTATTAATCACTTTTCTAAATGAATAAGTGAGCAACATTAGCTGTATGTCTCACCACGTACATAGATAAATCGCATTCGGTGTCTTGCACGAGGAATTATTTAGCATAGGTACACCGTCACTAAGTTATCACGATTTATTTATACTCTTATGGTTGAAGTCTTGTAACCATCATAGTATTTAATTGGCGTTGCTCACTGAAATTGCAATTTGAATTTTGTTTTCATAGCAGGAATAGTGGCGTTCTGCAAACCACACTTATAACACAGACCAAGCATACCAATACCAGGAGTTGCTTGCTCGTAATATTGTCACACATACCATGAATGTGGTTGGCTAGTATGGTTAGGTTTACCAATATGTCCTAGGTTATCGTATGTCGCCATCCCAATGGGTGAAAGTCTGTACAGTTTTATTTCGAATTCTGACTCTGTATGGCCTACGGTTACGTCTCCTGTGTTTTCGTGGAGATCAGTTTTTTTAATATCAGTTGATCGGATGCTGCTAATGACCCTGTCCTCGCTTTACGTTCATACGTTTATCAAGCAAATCTAAGTTTCGGTTTCTCCAAATGTATTTCTAAGAAAAGTTACCTACTGATTCAAAGACCATATTTGTGTGATCACTCCTTCATTACTTACAGTGTTAAGCAACTTAAAATTGCCTTATATGTACTACGGAATTGGCATAGTTTTTTCTTCTAGTATTTAGTATAACCAAGAAAGGAATATTACATGCATCGCGCCGTCTTTGCCTCACCACACCCAGTCCTTTCTAAACAATTCCTTAGTCAACGTTGCTTGCCACGGAAGAATGTGGAGCCTTGCATTCGCACCGAAACGAAGTTGTCATCAGCCCCCTTAAATGTCTTTTTGAAACATTCATGTATGTTTAGAATGATAAACTGCAGTATTTTCATTTATACTCAAAATCAGGATACAAGATACTTCGTGCAATGTATGTGAATAATAACCCCAGTTAATGGCCACTTCTTTGTTAGAATGATAAGCTTAAACATTCTAAGTGAATTGTTTAGGTTTCTGCATCTAAGTGTGTGCGACTAATCCATATTGATTTTCCAATGTTAAGAATCATAACTGACTATCCAGAATATACAAAATGGTCATAACTGTCAAGCTCAAACTCCAGCTGTTCTTTGTCTCCTTAGCATCGTGCATCCAAATGAAATCTCGTCGTTACTCCTTTTTCTGTACACTCATACATGTGGAACTAATATTATTTATTTACCCAAACCTTTCTAGGGGAAGTGTATTTGAGAATTACAACTCATCAGGTAAAAGGCAAAAAACAGAATTATTAGAAAGCTACCACAATCTTGACTGACGTCGGTGGCACAGTGGTAGAATGCTCGCCAACCACGCAGGTGGTCTGAGGTTCGATCTCCGGCCGACACACCTTTATCTTGCTAAGTCATTAGTAAGACCGACAAAGAGGGAAGGTTGAGCATGAGGCCAGCAACCCCGTCCTGTGAAAATAATCACTGCCGCCAGATCTTCAAGCCTCTAGCTTTGAGTCCTATGTTCCACCGGGAACCTAAAGGAATGGAAAAAGATGACTACACAAATCAGTTCACTAGTCACTGACATATTCACAAAGTTGCTTAATATTATGGTGAAACTTAATCTTGGGTACTATGTAACCGATTGCACTTAAAAACTTTCTAAAAAAACCAATCAGCGTAACATTTTGAGTATTTCTTACCCTGCATAATCAAGTTCAATTCAAGAGTTGGTAAACGTTCCGATTTGGTGTCAGGATAGCCCGTAGCGTTGTCTGTGGTTAAAGCTTGCTCAGTGTTTTAGTTTCAAGGTAGTGATCTTCATTTTTGTCAACTGATAAGATGTATATCACACTAATTATATTAGACCGACTGATATTGTTGGGAATCGGGAAATACAGTATAAGCTGTATGGCACAGGTATGTGGGTATGCATCATTTTGAATATGGAATAATCCGAAACATGGAGAGGCAATAATTTAAGTATTGCTTTTCTCCAGATCTGGTTCTATGATTTAGCGGTTGTCAACTTTCCGATGTCACTATTTGGATATTGTTTCTAATATTCTGGTACAGCGACTTATTCTCAACTAAATATTATAAAATACCTCGTAAGATGATGATAACTTTACTAGACTAAGTACCTGCACAAAACAATCACAGCGAACTGTTAAACCCTGACTTTTTGAACTCCATACACGGTTCTAAAAATTTCATACCATGTCAGATGGAAAAAGATTAGAATGATAGGGATGAACTGTTACTAAGAAGACTGAAGACGAATAGAGCGACATGAACTAGCATGGCTCTTATTATGCACAGAAAGAAATATAATCTATTTTATACAATTGGTGGATGGTGGCTAGCAGTGGAATCCAGGATGCGCATTTCGTCCTATGTGGGACTCGTCATCTGGATGTACGTGCATTTCTCAGTGAGTGATGATGTTCCCACTGAGGCTCGAACCCAGTGCCCATAGTTTCAAACGCCGAAGCGTTATCCACTAGACTACTTGGGCCACGAGAGCCATCTCTTGTGCAACTGGTCATATTAATTATTGAATTGAATTTTTGATTTTCCCGTCGATTGATTGTACCGAAGTGCTCGGTCTCAGGTTGACATGTCGGCTTCTTGTGCAGATGCCTCTATTTTCACTAGCTTCTAGTATCTGTCCTTCAAATGTCTTGCAGTACAACATGTTCGTTTATTCCATATGACTCAGAGTAGTCATTAACAGAATATAGCCTAGTCTTGTGACTGTGGGCTGACGATCGTTACAAACTTCCCCAGTCTACTCAGTTTAATTGGGCTAAGCTGAATCGAATTTTGCATAACAAATTCCTTAGGCACTTATATCAGTAAAACTTCGCAACCTCACCAAGTGATTTACTTTCACTGTCAGACGGGTAGTGCTACTTCGCATAAACAGTGTTTTGAAGGAATTACTTATAGCTTATTAAGCATTCTGACGGTCGTTTTTCTCCTGTCTCTTTAGTGGAAGTTGAACTAATTGCCCAGTAATCTGGCTGGTCATCTTTTAGTGTATCTGAAGTGTTTACTTGTTCTGCATACCTCATCCATGATAGAGTAAATTTATTTAATGAAGATCTACTCTTCTGCAGTTTTCGAGTTATGTTCTTATATCAATGAGACGCATACCTTAACTTGTACGATTATTCGTTCGATAGTTTTCATGAAGTCGAATTTCAAAGTTGTAGAGAACATCAGTAGTATTTCTCAAGAGCACAGTCAAAATAATTAGATATTTTAAGGGAGCGCGTACAAGGAAAGACCTGTGTTTAGTATAAACATGGTCTATAATGCCTTTACTATAAGAGTTTGTATCGCATTATCTCCAATGGTGCCCGTTTCTTAGACAGCTGTGATGTGGAACCAACGGTTAGTTCCATAGTATAATGTTGGCTAACCGTATACGTGGTTCATGTTTGATTCCAGACCAATGCACTCCTAAACCTCGCTTAGTTTACTAACCGGTAATAAGCTCGGAAAAGAGGGAAGATTGTGCGCTAGATTAACAATCCCACCTCGCGGAAACTACACTGCTATTGAAACTTCAGACGTAATAGTTTTATGTTTCAGTGGGAAAGCAAAGGATTAAAAAAGGCTTAAAACAATTTGTAATCAAGCTACGGCTATTAAGCAATGAGGGTGAACTGGTGTGGATAGACGTATATTGTTTCGCAGTTGTATGTGTGTCTGCGAAGGGCGAATGTATATGTATAGGCAACGAGTTGCATTCTAGGAAGAAACAACTGCTCAGTGCACATCAGCTACCAATAATTCTCCATCTAGCGTTGATGCACGTTGAGAATTAACTTGAAGATATAAATTTCGGACAGTAGATGTTGTGAATACTATGAGGTAGTTTGATTTCTGACTCCGATTGAATCATCTTAAAACTACGTGAAATCAACCCCAGTGTGTTTAGAATTAATGCAGATTAATAATTCCCACTGTAACACTAAAAATAATGTTACATGAAGTGACTCTTTGAAAGGATATATTATCAAAATGTACATTCGTGTTTTTATAATATTTTTGAAAACTATGTCCCATGAAGAAATTTCATGACGTTAATTACGAAAAAGTATTCGTATTTGTGATAAAATACGGATACTGTGCGATACTAAAGTAGGCTATGCAATATATAAGAATGTTCTTAGAATGTATATATTTTCAAATGTTCCCTGGCTGGAATTCAGGCAGTTCGACTGACATCACAAATCGACATTAGTTAGAGAACCACCGAAAACAAAGGGATGTCGAACATCTGTTTCTCCCCAGTTTGGGACTTATTAGCACCACGCACACATGACCCGATCGAGGAGCGAATTCAGGGTCTTCAGGTTACTAGACGAGCCCAGTGACTATTCATCCACTGAGAGAGAATTCAGTGGTCTGCAATTCTCAGTACATAACGCTACTACGAGCCAATGTCACCGGTTTTCAATGATTCTCTAACTGATGTCATGTCATGATCATGAGCGTGAAATGAATAAGATTACCAGGTAGATAGGACGTTATGTAACCTGGGTAGAAAACCTGGGTGAAATTGCTTATTTTCTGTGGCGAAAAAAGTCATCACCAAAGGGATAGAATAACACTGGGAACAGTACTAAGTGTAGATAATAATAATAATGATACTATTGAGCCACCTCTGGCGCCGTCGTGACGTTAGCCTGGCTGTCAAAGGTTGGGCATACAATGCTTCGGTGCGGGCTGCGCTGCTCTACGCCTGTGAAACCTGGCCCCTCCGAGTTGAGGATGTGCGGCGACTCTGCGTGTTCGATCACCGCTGTCTCCGCAGGATTGCTTGCGTTCGATAGCATCATCGCGTGAGTAATTCTGAGGTTCGGCGGTGTGTGTTTGAACACAGTGGAGATTATCATTCATTGAGTGTCGTCATCCGGAGACACCGGCTCCGGTGGCTTGGACATGTGCTGGGAATGTCACCCCAGAGGCCCCAGGTCTCTGTTCGCTAGCCCTGGGACGCGATGGAAAAGGCAGAGAGGTGGTCAGTCCATGACGTGGTGTCGTGGGATGAAGGATTTTTGTGCTAGATTAGAATCGGTTGGTGTGTCACGACTCCCTGGTTGGGGTCGAGAGATAGCTCAAATCGATGGCTCGAAACGTTATCGGATATGGTCAAGAGTCGTAATCAATGGCGAACGTGTTGCAATTT